ATGCTTACACTGAAATATTTTCAAGAACTAATGCAGGGAAGCTGAAAAGTCATTGAACGAATGGCCAACTTGTGAAGAGAAATATTATTGGTGTACGGGCGTCTCCGTTCTCCTTGATATCGCCCTCCCTCCGGAGCGGCAGCATTCATGTTGCGACAGCCCGGAATGCAATAACCCAGCTCCAAGGCTCGCACCCCCCGGGAATTCGCCTCCGATCTTTTGTTTTGGTATTCTAACCAATGTACAACCATAGTCAAACGTGCCTTTGCGGGAAATGCAACAGGTGCATTGCCTCGTTCATGGTCTTCATAAACGGATACGCTGCGTCTGAGATCGCCAAGGAACTATATTGCACCATTTGTTTCGTTTGGTGATGTTCAAGTCAAGTCAGGCCTCTTGATTGGGTGGGAGCACAATTGCAAGGCGGACTTACTGTTTTTCGTTGAATCTGTCCAAACCAGCCCTAAAAATTACATAATGCCCACAAGCTTCTCCAAGGAACTTCAAGTACTGCAATGCAAATGTGGCAATACATCAAATCTCTCTGTTGAGAGAGTTTCTCTAAGAGCAGGGATAATCTTGGCAGCGACAGGGCATCTAATATGTCGAGGATCTTGAACTTATGTTGGTCCTTCAGTCGCGCCAAAAAACTGATGTACAGGATGAAGAAATCTCCATGCAAGAGCGAGAAATCCTCCCATGGACTCTATTGTGCCAAAGGATTGGGCTTCCGCCGCCGCCGCCGCTCGGGCTCTAGTCCTATGGTCAGCGTCGATCGCGCTGAGCAGGATATGGAGTCTGGGTATGCTTTGAACAGCTACGGTCGCCGGTTTCAGAAAATCTGCAGCATCCTGCGCAGCGACGCGCTGACGTATTTGGCATGTGCCGTTTGCCAGGAGACTTTTAGTGATCTGAGGCTAACCAGCGAACAGCTGCGTGCGCACGGTGATCCCAATGCGTTGGACATACCCGATGAGTACCTGCCCCAATGCGCCATTCACCCCCGTAAGAAAACACGTGAACCCCCGCCGAGCACGACCCTGAAATTTGTGGGTACACATTTCTCAGTAGCAAACAGCGTCTGTGCCGTGCCGGTTGTGAGGCCATTTGACCATATTTGAGGCCATCCCAGCTATTTCTACGCCATCTCAATCACTGGGATAGCGCCACTTGGTGAAAAATTTGCACTGGAAATTTCGCATGTCCTGCTGGAGCTTGTGCAACCCAACTGTCTGTGTCCTACACTTTTCTGCCTCCTACGGGTGTGTGAGTAAACACACACGACGGTGCTTCCAAAGAGCCCGAAATGTTGGTGCGGATGCTCCCCACTGGACTGCCGATCACAGCCACTATGCAGCGAGGTTTGGTTCATTCGTGGGACACAACTACAGCCACTTTCGAAAATTTTGCGGGGGTATTACAAACCGTGGCAATACTGTCCATGGCAGCACCGCGCTCTCGAAATGCAGCGACTGGAAGGTTGTGCGTGTTGTGGATGCATAATCGCGTGAGGATTTTTTAATGGCTCCTCAGGAGACCACATCGCGATATTGTGCACCGGCGGAATCCAAGTTCATTCATAGTTGGACGTGCGTTACGAACGCACAAACGTGCATTATGAAAATTTCATTCAAAACTTGCACTTTCAACTTTGATTTTAAATCCCATTTCATCCTTAAAGGGGACCTATTTAACTCCGTACCAAATAATACTGAACATGGTGACAAACTGTCGCAATATAAAACGAGATTGAAACTAGTAACAAATAATATTGAAACTGGTACGAAATTCGCGCCGGTACCAGAATGTTATATTATGTACCAAAAGAGGCTGAACTAGTACTAATTAATCATGAAGTCACTGCCGCCATACAGTACTCACAAACTCTAAACCCTAAACCAAACCCAAGCTCAGTGCTGGTCGCATGCTGCAGTTCAATGACTAATTGGTACTGGGTTCAACATTTTTTGGTATACCATTCAACATTTTGGTACAGGTGCGAATTTGATACCAGATTAAATATGTGTTGGTACCAATTTCAATCCTTTTTGGTACGTTGGCAGTTTGGCACCAGTTTCAATATTATTTGGTACGGAGTTAAGTATATGCGTCCCTAAAGTACGACATTCAGGTAACGTGAAAGAGAAGTTGCCATAATGTGCCTGTCCGCGTCTGGCCCTCCGACCTATTCGCCAGTACACCGCAATGCCTGGCAATACTACAGTACTAGCCACTTTCCAGGCAGGTTCTTTATATTTTAAATCTGCGTCTTTGCCTAAATAACGCACTGGTAGAGCAAACAACGTTCAAGGGATAAAATCTTGTAGTCTTGATAGTTTTGGTACTTTGGTTTCTTGCTTGTACATGGATTTAGTCCACATACATGGACAGTAACCTCCATTAAGGCGACGGCTGCAAGTGGCTACGCTTGTCCGTTCTCGGCAATTGTTGGATGCCATTGAATGAATGCAGAGTGGGTGACCCGGTTTGATTCTCAAGCAAAAGCGATAGGTAGTTAATGTAATTGCGGCCTCACACCGCGGGGTGACAAGCAATTCCGAACAGAGGCATTTCGCAGTACTTTGCAAAGTACCGCCAGGCAACTGGCTGGTACAGCAATAACCTTTATGTGTCAATCTTGCGCCAACTTGGTAAGTTTCTCCACAGGGTGTTTTACCCAAGCGAGACGCTCTGGAAATGGTGAATAAATATACTGGGGAAATACACAGTGTATGAAAAAGAAATGAAACAAATTGCCAGTATAGATACTGTGCCAGATTGTGTCAGTAGATGGCAAAATTTCCATTCTCTATGGTGGGGATAAGGATGGCTCTGGATTCAGGATTTCTGGAGTGGCACCTGGTTAGGCTGGGAGGCTATTAGTGCGATGAAGCACTCAAGGCTGTATCAAACTGTCGAGTACGAGATGAAACCACTGTGGGCTACTTTTCCGCACTGTGCCCCAAACATGGTCAACTCCTAAAAGGTGATGCATAGCTCTGGTACTGAAAACCCAGCGGTGGCGAGGCATCAGAGGCACAGAAGCAAGCAAGTAAAAGACCCTCAACATTTGCGACGCATTGTCAAGTCTCCCATTCAGTTCTCCTCCAGCGACAGCATTGCTGAGGCTGCTCATGATCATGAGCCTTCCTCATTAGCCTTCCTCATGAGGAATCATGAGGAATCCTGAGGAATCCTGAGGAATCCTGAGGAATCCTGAGGAATCATGAGGAATCATGAGGAATCATGATCATGAGCCTTCCTCATGAGGAAGGCAAAAATGGGCACGGTGTCCTGACGCTCACACTGAAGCGGACGAGCGTGCAACCTCTTCCAATATAGGAATTTTGCCAATATTGGAACAATATTGGAATTTTGCATTAATGCCAGAAGAGAAGACTGGCACAGGGAGGGGCAGAGCTTGGAGTGAAAGTTGAAGGGCAAGTCCGCAGTTGCTAGCGTTGCAAGCGTGCTAGAACAGGTACTGTGTGGCACTGCTTAGTAGCGTATGTGTGGGCAGTACTGCTTTTGGGTACTGTGTTGTGAATGCAGTGGAAATGCACTTGCCCAAAGATGTGGTCCGGAGTTAGGAGGATGGGTAGGGGAAGGCAGGGAGGGGGCAAGGACACAAGGGATTGAAGAAAACTGTATTTTTTGTGAGACGGGCTAATAAAGGCAGGGGTCAGCAGATGTTTTGCAGCCATTTGAGTTGGGAGCCTTTGCTAAGCAACCGTACACTCGTTGCTGTTAATGCTGCACAAATCAAAATTTTCAACTGTTATAATCAGAGGGTTAAGATCGCCTGACCAGGAGGGGCATTGTGACACAAATGCTCCCGCAATGCCATTTGTGGCCATGAACAGATGCTAGTGTTCCTTTGCAATGGATGTCTGCTGGTTTTCGATTTGCATCTCTGCTAGGCATCGAAGCGCCATTTGCAAATCGCATTGACGTCCAACAGGACACAAAGGTACATTAACTGGGTGCATATATAGATCCGGGTATTACCTTCGATGGGAGACTCCGGGGCATGGCCCGTCCTGGTAATATGCTCATATATATGATATATCTGGCTGAAGATATATCTGGCTGATTATGGACATGGTTCATGGGTTGGCAAGTAACTGGTAGCTACGTACACAAAATCTACGTATGTTTATGGCCATGGGTACTCGAGAAGCGGGCACCTAGATCTCATCATTACTCCGCAAGCATCCAAATAATTTTAGAATTCCCAGAATGCAATTTAGGCATTTTGTTAATTTCTTAATTTCAATTTTTTGCTATATTCCATTCTTTGTTCAGCGACTGCTCCAGAAGCATACTTATTTTAGTCCATCCCAACAAGAGGCCACAGGTGAATAGCTTGTCTATTTCAATTTAATTGATACTTAACACCCAGCATCAACTATTAAGTAATGCACAAACGTATGAGCGGTTAGGGCAACCCACAGGTCACTATAGTGTGCATCGAACACTGCTCACTACAATGAACTTCGACGTTACCCATTAGCTTTAGAATGCATTCCCAGCATGTACAATGGTCCCATTTCCTTCTCCGCTTGGAGGCCTGGTGTATAATGAAAACTGTGCATGGTCGTCTTGAATCAAACTGCGAGTGTTGAAATATTTTTAATTCCAAACACAACACCGCTTCTCTTGAGACCCAAAGCATCGACATTTGGTGCTGTTCTATCTACTTTTTGTGCGAACACATCCCACATACAGACCTTGCATGTCAGCGCCTTCATGGGGCCAGCTTTGTCACTCTCACCCAACTAAGCTAAGCTAAAAGATGGCAAGGAAGATGTCCCCACAATGATGCGACCAATGGCTATGACTAATCGCCACCCTGCATTATTGTCATCCCTCCTGCCTCTTGTTCCTGTTGATGTAACCCCAGCCTCACCACAGCTCAAAAATTCGTAGCACACCAAAGCACACGCAGCAATGCCCCCCATTCCCCCCCCACCAACCCCGCCCCACCCCAGGGTCTGTTGTCATCTCGCCTGTCTCTTGTTCCCTTTGAGGTACTGCATCATGTCAGTACCTTCCCTCTTCCTGTCTTCAGCCAACTTGAACGCCTTCCTCACCATCGTGGTCAGCCCAAAGCTGCCCATCTCACCCTCCGCCACCCACCTGTGGTTTGACATCGTGGATCAGTGGATCTACGCTGATCACATTTGTCACCACATTAACGAATAGCATATACAGGCAGATACAGGCATCTAGTACTTGTATTTACAAATATCGAACTGCAATTACAAATCCACAAAGAACGTCACCTCCGTTTGTGGCATTGAGCAAACACTCTTTTGGATTGCCGTTGCACCTCACATCGCCCGCAAGGTGAAAGGAGATTAATAGTCGCCTTAGACAAATGAATCCTGCAGAATTGTATTCAAAATATCATGTGACAAGGAGCCAGCCATCAAGGCCCCATTCCGCCCGAGCAGCTCCATTAACTTGTTTAATATTAGCCCAGGGTGTTGCAACGATTGCAAGCATTGCCCTCAATTCATCAGCCTCTGCAGAATGGCTAAGAAATACCATAAAATACTCAAACTTTCTGCCTCAGAAAACTTAACTGTTACAGTTTTGCCTCCACATTTTTGTTTTCAGAGGCTCTGCAGAGAGGCCAAGCGTTCCATTGCTACTCGCTAATTTTCCTCTGCAAGAAAGGGCCAGACATTGGAAGGGCTGAATATTTTATGGTAGTTGGGGCTGGTGCTGCTTTGCGATATGCAGTATCTCACACAGTACACTACCAATGGTTGTCCGTTGGCATAGTCCAATGAGAAAGAACAGCAACCTTTCAGCCACAGGTCACCTCGAAATGGGCTGCACTTCAAGGGGACTCAGACCTCAGTACTTTAGCCTTACACCCGCCAGGAAATATTCAGCAAAATGGTACAGGGTAAAGTACAAAGTACTTTGTCTTGTTCTCACTTTGCTTCAGTGCTTACGAAAGCACCAATGCAAGTCCCCTCCTGGCCTAGACGTTTTCATGCTCTTCTTGCAGGGTAACATTGGTAATCAATTGCATTTTTTATTATTGTTTCAAGGGTGTTCCTTCAATCAACCTGCTTTCATGCACTGGTGATCAGACGTGTGCTATTGTTCTGGAGCACATGTGGGTTTGTGCCATAATCATGTAACTGCAGGCACCAAGTTTTGCTGTAAAAGCTTAAGGCAATACATTACTCAGAAGAATCAGGTACTGGAAGTACTGTTAAGCACAATGTGAAAACATTATTGCATTATTGTACAAATTATTTTACTGTTCTAACACAGTTGGTCGTTGCCGATGTGCATTTGTTCCAACTGTCAATGGTTCACCCAACAGTTCAGAGCTGTGCCGATTTGACACCATGGACAGGATCAGAGACGCCTGGACTGCAGCACTTTCAGAATGATATGAACAAGCAATGAAATGTACAACAATATACATTGTCAAAATAATCAACAGCAAATCTGAATTTCATGAATGAGCAACTGGCATTTCAAACCAGAACAAGCTTGCAACTGACTGTCCTCCATTCCACTCACCTGACCCCCGCCTTCTCTGCGGCCTCCGCCGCTTCCTGGCCCCCCTCCACCACCAGCATCTCCACGTGCATGGTCATCCGAATATGACTAAACAGGTGCACGGCTGTCCCCACGTCGTGCCTCCGCAGCACTTTGAGCTTTTTCGGCGGCTTGCCCAATGGCGTGCCACACCCAGCCTGAAGGTACTCATCCATTTTGGACTGCCGGTGTGTGCATGTGGTGTCTCCTCCTTCGATGGGGATGGTCGGAAATTCCCAAAGGCCGGCGAGTAGCCCGCTGGCGGGCCTCTTCAGTAGCATGTACCTGGATGGTGCCCAGTCAGTGCTGTCAACTCTTGCTGGAGGCCACAACTCTACAGCATATCCCAAACCTGAATTGCTGGGGGATTTAAGCCGAACTAGTAAACAGCTTACATGTTCAGCAATATTTGCAGCAAATTTGCAAATCAGTAAAAATTTGCTCTTTGCTGCCAATTAAAACGCGCAGCTGGAATGTGGAGCCCCGTTGGACACCAGTCTAAATGGATTAAACAGCACAGTCCCATTATTCGGACCAGTTTCTGCATGGAGCAAGCTACTGACATTCGATTTCATGCATATATTTCTATTGCGGTTCACCGTCCCTCTTGCTTCTCCCAACCATCATCAATAGGACGCCCGTTGCCATCGTCTCCTCGCATTTCGCAGTTGCCTATTTATATGCTGTTACTCTTCTGTTGTGTTCGTCCATTTGCTATCCAAGCAAGTGTGTGAAACACAGTGCTCTCTTCCTCGTATACTTCGAGCGGCATCTCATCTTTGCACCTGCTCCTCCCCAAAGCCCATCTTCGATACACACAAACACTGCCACTGCCTCATTGCACCCCGCCACCAATTATTGATTCATTTTTAGTCATCGATTTGCCCATCCATTGCCATGTCTCAAGGGGCAACTCACCTTCCTCTCTGCCCCTCCCGAGGCACCATCTTCAGCACACACATTGCCACGACCTCTTCACGCTTTGCCAACTTTTCGGTGGCACTAGGGAAGTCGGTCACACGGGGGGCGTTTGGCTTGTCTGGGCGTCCCCCACCTGCCAAGTGGCTCCGGACTCGAGCCAGGGCGCTGCACTGTGCGCTGACGGGGCAGCTGTCGCACAGCGGGTTGGTGGGCTTGCAGATCGTCGCACCCAGCTCCATCATGGCCTGATCGATCAGCCATGAGGTCAGTATTGAGAAATAGAGCAGATGCGATCAGTTGGGAGTGTAAATTTTAGACAGCACAAGAAGAACCTGATCGATTGAGGTCAGTGGGCAGTGTTGATGGACTCATGAGCAGAAGAATCGAATTCCAATACATTCAACAAAAGAAACCAATCGGTTTATGCTTCGTTTGAGAATCGAAGATGATCAGATTTGAAACAACAATAGGCATCAAATTTTGACACACCTGGCAAGTTCCTTTCGGCAATGCCACTGATCAACTCAAATCAGATCAGATCGAAATCACCTGATTGAAGTCACCTGGCCGCTGTTTGTCAAGCAGCTCGCCTGCCAGGACGGCATGTGTGGCCGTCAGCTTTTTGGGATCGCCACTCAGTGCACGAAGTCGTGAGACGACGCGGATGACATTCCCATCGACAGCCGCGGCACACTCACCAAAGGCGATCGAGGCAACGGCAGCCGATGTGTAGGGTCCGATACCTGCAGCAAATGAGCGAATACTTGTGCTTTCTTCTCTGTCTCTTGAAGCCAAGAAACAAATAAGGAAAGGAAGAAAAGAAAACAAAAAGGATCCAAAATTGAAAAAGAAGAAACAGATTAGGAAAAGAAGGAAAGGAGAGTACATAAAACAGAAGTTGTGCTGAGGTGGATATATTCAGCATGTTGGGGCTGGGGAGTTACTATGCCTTGGAGGGAGATATGCCAAATATGCAAAGCCTGCCACTGGGTGGCTGGCAGGGGAGGAAGCGCCATCTGTCAAATTCGAATTGGAGATGCCTTGCTGCCAAAAGCACCAACAAAGTTGCCCCTCGTCCCACATGCACTAATTCCAACATTAACACAGCAGACCCAAAATTACCTTGGGGTTGTGTGGCCCTGGTGGGCTCACGCCCACAAAGGGTTTGGCATTGTGTCCACTATGGACACTGTCATATATTATCTGAGCCTCTACCCAATCTTCACATGCTACGTGGCAAATTAACGATTACTGTTGTTCGATTTGCCAATGCACTGACTTCCTTCGCCTTACCTTGGATTGGCACACCTTGTAAAACATTCAGCACAGGGCTTGAAATTCGAGCTGCATCGTGCAGAAATGCAAGTTCTTGTCTGCGGCTTCTCTTCACCATTTTAGGACATTCACACTTGGGGTTATGGAGTCAAATAAGGAAAGGAAAATGTTTACTGTTCTGCTGCCCTCACCCCACCCCTATGCTAGAGCACCTGCCTGGGATCCTTTTCAGCTCATTTGCAGTCTCCGGAAATGCGCCGCCCAGTTCGTCCACCAGGTGCTTGGCGCCCTTGAGGAGGAATGCGGCACGGCGGTAGTATCCCAGTCCAGCCCACAGCTCATTAACCTGGTCAGAGCAAACCTATGTCAGAACAAATGTATGCCTGCAATCACTGTGAAAATGCCATACTGGTCAGAGCATATGTCCAGTGACTTTCAGAACACAAACATCGGTGTTCCTTGCAGTCTACAAAGATGTCACGGTGCTTGGCAAAATGCCAGCACAGTATACAATGGAATTCGCACAAGCGGGGGCTGTGCATTTGCGAGGTGGCAACTTCACTCGGATTGTATGCTACAGGAGCGCAGAGTTTTGGCCCAAGAGTGGGAGGTGCTGTTGAGGTGCATGGCACCACAATGGATGGAGGACTTGGCCTGGCTTGCCAACCTTCTGGGTTCTCGCATTCGTCAGTTCACCCATGCTGGTTGATTGAGACATGCGCAGGGCTCCAGAATGGGTGACGGGTGTGGAGGGACATGAACAAACGTTGGGGAGTTTTCTGGGGTGTCTTGGCAACTTGTGGACCCCTCGACTTGGGAGCTCTGATGATGTGGGGGCTGGGGGTGTTTCTGCCGAGCGCTGTGAGGCCATGTGCAGGCCACTGGAAGCCTGAAACTGTCTGAAGCTCTGAGTCCAGAAGAAACGGGTGACATCATTGAGGAAAGCATACCTTAAAACGTAGGATTGTGATGTAAAGTTTGGATCCAAGAAACAAGGTCTCAAACAGCAGGATTGCGATTTAGGACGAGGAACGCTCACAAACATCGCCCCTTTGCTTTTCAACGTGTTCATCATTTACAATCAACGGGCCTTCATTAGCATTGTACCTTGTGAGTCCTTGAGCAGGTAGCTGTCCCCCACACAGGATTGGCAGTTATACATAACTCATTAGAATGATGTAACCAGTTTGCATGCTCTGGATTCCACTGGAGATCGTGCGCTGGGCTGAGGACAGCAGGGACACTGTTGTGCCGCAGCGTTTTTGATGGAATGGTCGTATGCAGGTACCCAAGTTGGAGACATGCATTCCAATGGCAGTTCAAAGCAGTGCCTTCAATGTGACAGCATTACAATCAATAAAATTTCGGCTGAAGGGCAAAGGAAAGGATGGGCAGGCTTGGAGATGGCAGCTTTTCAAGTCAAATGGGAGCAAGAGCTCTTCAACAGAAAAAGAATGCAGAAGACAGAAACATTTCGAAGGCAGCACACAATACTCCACACCTTTTCAGCTATTTGATCCATTGTGCATACCGATCAAGACACGAGCAAAGTTTGGGCATGACTTAGATGTGGAGATTGGAAGTGCTTGCAGGACACAAATCAGAGGTTGCCAAAAGTGTTACAGCCTCATAAACTGTGTCTTGAACCTAGCCCGTCGCCACCTCGGAAGGTGCAGGGGGAATGTTTGCCAATTGTGATAATTTGCTTATCACAATTTCACTGAATTGTAGTCCCAAGAGCCGACCCCAAAAGTTGTGGTACAAGAGTTTGCACCAACTCATTATGGCAATATCTGATCTCTTGAATGCGATGCAATGCTTCATGAGAAATATCAACATTCAATGTTCAATGACTCATACACTGATAAATTCATAGTGGGTAATGGTCAATGAATGAATCAGTACTTTATAAACGACAAAAGCACCATTCTGAAAGACAACAGTACACATACCTCCTCCAGAGACGCAGCTGCAAGGGCCTCCAGTGTGGGCCACTTCTCCATCCACCGTTTAAAGTACTTCACCACATTGACCACCTGTGTTTGGAGCCATACATGCAAATTTAATTAACAATATACTTCTAAAAACTCATCAACTCAAATTAAAATTGTCATGCTGTCATTGCATCACGATTCAGTTCTAGGATTACATTGGCCCTCACATGACAAAAGTAGGACACTTGCAGTTCTTGCAATCAACCAGTCCATAATCCGACAATGTGATCCTTCAGTGTCAAAAGTTGTGGTACCTGTGGTATGCTGAATGCAGCGCACATTACAATGGACCACAACCGAGTACATTAAAGTGCACTAGACCACAGGATAGCACAGCACAGTACAGTTTTATTTGCAGGTGGACAAATCTCTGGGTGGTATGAGTTCACAGACAACCTCACAGGTACCTACGAGCATTGTCTACTGCTCTGTCCAGTCGGCTGCGAAATGATCCAACGACAGCATTGCAACATGAATTTAAGTTTGGACATTTCCAAATGTTGCGAGTTTTGAAAGTTGGCAAGAACAAATTGGAAATGCACAAATGGCCATTCTCCAAATGGACCATCGTGGACACATCCAGGGGACAAAATTCGAAGTCCTAGACATGCCTGGAGTATAATTGACGTGGGATTCAGACAAACCACTCTCTGGACTCAGTGCTCCAAGCAACTAAACTGACAATAGCAGCAATGTACAGAAAATGCAATTCAATTGCAAGGCATTTAAATGCATGGCAACACATGCCCCTTACATCATCGCCCTACAGATGCCTGTGTATGATTTGCTGATGCTGCCCAAAGCAAAGCAAAGGTATAAAGTACATGGAAGCAGTTTCTGCTGCATGCTTCCATTTCCAAGTCATGCTTCCATTTTAAATATTCCCTGCATTCTGTTATATCAATTGCCTGTCGCCTTGACCATTTTCTGCATTGTCTATTCAATTCCTGCGCTGACTTCACTATTTCCTTTGATAAAATTTCCGAATTCTGTGTTACCTGAGTCTGCTGAAGCATCACCTCTGACACCCACACCATGTATGCAAATGCCTGTGGATCCAGATCGGCAGAAGCAGCTTCCCCTCTGGTTCCCTCCAGCTTCGAGTGCAGGTTCCTCCTCCATGGAAGCTGCCGATGGCAGCCATCGTACCAGCTAAGCAGGCTGGCTCGGACCTGCTCATGAAGAACCTTGGTTCAGATGGATTGAAAAGATATGCATTACATATTGCTGGTACTATGGTTTGCCTTGTTGTCTGGGGCCTGTGTACACAGAGCGCATCCGTGATACTGTGGTTTGGAATGATGTCGTTTCATTTGCCATTGCTGACAAGCATCGTCACATCTTTGACCGATGAACACTTTGAACAACTGAAACCTGATTCTGTCCAATGGTCCGAGCTCAGCAGAGACGCGCCATAAAAATGTATCTTCTTACAATCTTGTACTTGATCGGTACAGTCACTCAATCTGTACGTCCTGCTGGTGCCAAACCGCAGTTCAACAAGACGAGACAATTGATTTTAGGTGCTGATGCTGGGCCCTGGCCCAGGGAGATCGACATCCCACTTTTGCCAAGATGCAGCGGTTCAGACTTCTTGAAGCATCAGTTGTCACACATGAAGATGTAACTCCTCACATCAATTTTGGCAATGATGGGCACAGCATCCGATTGGCCACACTGTTGCATATCTGTTCACTTAAGGCCCATGTATGCATGCTCCCTGGATATTGATACGTGACTCCCAGACCATCTTCTACTGTATGTGCAAAACAGTATGGTACAAAATACCACACTGCTGTATGCACTGTACATACAGTACAGTAAAAGCAGTAGTGTGCAGTGCAGCACAGTGCAATGCAGTACAGCTTATGTACAGTCGCCCCAACCCCCACATCCACTCCCAAGAGAGGCGAACCAAATGCATGCCACCTGTCCGTTGGTGACTGGATCGGTTGGATGCTTGGCTCCTGAATAGCGATGGGAGGGCTGACAAACAAATTCGCACACTCCCACTACTGCCTTGTGCAATGCAGGTCGACTTGCTGACCTGAGCTTGGTGGGATCCAAAGAGTGACGCAACTACTTGGCAGACAGGGAACAGAGTGGTATGCAGTGCTGCCTAGATGTGGGTGTGCATTCCTTGCCTGCCATAGTATGTTCAACCATTCTGCACCAAAAAGTTCTATCGCTACACTTTCTGAACCGTATTTTTTCAGTATTAGTTTTGTTTTTTTCCGTTGGTCCGCCAAAGCTTCATTAAAAGGGCGCTATTTATCTTACCATTTCCTCTGCAAAAAAAGGCCAAGCGTTATGGTACTATGCGGAAAGGTTGAATATATTACGGTGTGGACAGAGCTCGGGCAGCCAGTTCCCTTTCCGACAGATGCCCAGTGCCGGGTTTTGACTGGGAATGGGGAGCCATGAGGGCCATCAATGTGTGGCATTGAACTATTTCTTCAAGTACTTGTGCCTTTGCAACACAGAAAAAAAGCAGTGCCATTGCAGTTGCGAGACAATGACCTGCACTGCAATTACTTCCCCCACGCATCCACTTTCCCTTCTCTGATCAACGCGCTTGCTTTTACATTGCAGCAGTGGATGCGTTCATTTCCTCCAGGGTTGGATGCTCAAAGCTGAAGAACCTGGGCTGGCAAACCACCCCCCCTTGGTGCTGCATCACTTTGCAACAGTCCAACGTGATTCACCAATGTGAATTATTTGGCGCCGCTGTCCAAGTGATTTGCCACACTACGCTGGTACCAATCTGCTGTATGGTGTTCCTCAAAGTTGTCAGCTCTTTGCTGGTTACCATCCCCTAGAACCCGATCTAAGAATACCATAGTGGCCACAGTTTCAGCAGGCCTCACAATGCCAAAATGATGATGACCAATGCAGGGCGCACTGCCAAAAAGAACATATGCCACCACACAACCCCCCCGCCCATTGAGCATCAATGTGTGGGACTTTGGCATTTGGGGAGATCGCGGTCTGGACATGATGTGCGCACCCATAATAATACAATGTGAAAATGTTAGGAAACAATTTTCATTGATTTTTTGGAGAGCCCACATGCCCAACACTGCATTCCTGGGCGCAAAGGCCATGTTCCATCACTTTCCGAGTTTCCGATGCTGTCACGGAATCCAGCCACCCGATGACTGTAGCCAAAACATCACCTCCCCACCCGAATATTTCCCCACAGTGTGCTCTCACACTCTCACATGCACATTTGCGTGTCGTTTTTGCAGGTGCCAATGACCTGACACACAGTTTTCGGATTCACTGTAGAGAACAACAGCCATTCCCAACCCCACCAACCCGATGACTGCAGCCGAAGAAATCTCCTCCCAAACCCAACATGAGCTAGCATCACGGCGGGCACCGACACTCGTGCATCCACATTTGCCACTTGTCCTTGCATGTCCCGCTGACACGCATGCAGCTGTCGGACTAATTGTAATCAACGACACACACGCACATTCTGGCAAAGGGAAACATGTGTGGATCCTTCGATTGGTTTGTTTCACCATGTGTGGGAAAATACTTCACCACGTCGAAAAATATTTCATCATGTGTTTCATCATGCTGAACAGTATTTCAGCCTGTGTGGAAAAGTCGGTTCATCACGTGAAAAGGTGACAAAACTAATCTCCCACCTGAGCCCTGTCCTCCTCGGAGAACGCCGGCGCCCCGTCGCCCGCCGAAGCCCGCCAATCCCCGGCAGCCCCATCCCCCCCCGATGCCGATGCCTCCGATCGAATGCCGCAGATCCGTTCTCCCCGTCGACGCGGTGGCGATGCCCGCAGGCGATCGGCGACTGCGATCCCCGCGGCGGCTGTCTTGGCCTTGGGCGCCGAGGTGCGCGCGCGGGTGGGTTTGCCGGCGATGGGCATGGCGGGCTGGGGCGGTTTGGCCGTGGTGGAGTGGGTGGATTTGGCGCGGAGGCGAGGTGCCAGATATGGTGCCTGGGATGAGTATTACTCATCAGGCCATTGTTGGGTGGACTGGTAGTTAAGGAGTTGGGCTACCCTCTTCCTACCAGGTGGTTTGGTAGGGCAGTGGGAGGTCCCACCCAGAGGTATCCGGTTCGATCCACGGTCAGACATCCTCATTGCCATCCGCACTGGAACAAACCCGAAACTCAAGACTTCAGACCAGACTTGAGACCCGAGGACCTGACCAGACCGGACGCAAGACCAGGCTCAAGGCTACCAGACTTGAGTCTCCCCAGGGCCGAAGTCGCGGTCACTGCCTTCTTCTGGAGCAGAGACACGTGATATGACGAGTTTGTCGATTTTTCGCGTTGCCTGCAAGGATTTTCGTTCATTCATTCGTTCTTTTGGAGCTGTGGGCAAGGGTACCCATTCTTCAGACAATGGGTCGTATCCTTGGGATCCTTGGGATTCATTAGGATTTGGTCTGCTCTATGCACTGTTCGAGTGCCATGATGTTACAAACAGCTGACAAACACCGCCAGGAGGGTGTCTACGCTTTGGAACAGCAATATGACTCACCGATCAGCCATATGCGCTCAATGGGAGTCACCAAAAGCACAGCCACTACCACAGCCCTGTCAATCGCCCAGAATTTCTGAGCATTCCGCTCCTACACTTTTTACCAACTTAGCTCATAAACACTCACAGGACAACGAGAATCACCACAGCAAGTAAATTCAAGCCCAACAGGATACTTGGGGTGTGGTCGAGCGCTGCCGAAGCGAGGCGCAACCCCAGAGCTGAACTTCGTGTTCAAGTTCACCTTAGCCGTTCACATACAACGAGAAACATGCAACTGCTGACCAGCTCGACGAGAGGCACGAAAATACACGCTCAAACTGCGAAACGATGTTCCACACCTCGCTCAGTAGCTCAGTATGACGAGCGTACTGACCATTCTCCAGATGTCTCAAACCGATGTCGTCGATGCTCGTTCCCTGCGGTCCAGCGCTGCACTCCACTCACTCGCCAAGCAGCGGACGATGAAGACGGGTTGTTGAGTCGACGAAGTCAGCGCCCAACGTGGGCGCACGCGGGTCAGCTGGTCAACGAGGCAGGAAACGAGCTCGGCGACGAGCTGTGGGTATGTGCAGCGGTGCACAACCCAAAGGCAATCGATCCGGAGGGTCAAGAGACAAAGACACACGGAAACGAAAGTGTTCGTTACAAGGCTGCTCCCCTTCGACCACGTTCGACCTCAACAACTCACAGCACGACCGTTTTCAACTGAGCACCCGCCGTTCAGACCGCTAGAACCAAAAACGGACGGGTGGGGGGCGGAGAGAGAGGGGGGGAGGTACTCACAACCCAACCTCCGCCACCTAAATACCCCCGCCAGCTCCAAGGGCACTACACTTCAGTGACCCTTGGATAAACAAACAGACACATCAAGAAAAAGGCCACAATCCCTCTCAGAACTTCCCATTGACCTTCTCCACTTTGACCCCTTCCAAAGGGTCACACAATACAATTCAAAAAGTCACTTTGGAGCACTACAACACTACTCAACACCCGTCAGCGCCCCCTGGCAGTACTCCCATGAAAATGTACTGCTGTACATCCTCTTCCCACTCACGCTGCGATGAACTAAATGCTGTAGGTTCCTGAAAAGTCAAATTAGGGGGAATCCCCCTATCCAAACAAAAAATACACCTAATGCATTTTTCATCCCATGTACACCCATCACACCCCACAGTCCCGTAGTGGGTATTGTCCCCCGGCTGCCTAACCCATTCTACCTCCCTTTCCCCCATGTACGACATGCGTGCCCTCAATTGAATTCCCTGCATCATCCAGCCTCCTTCCGGGCCTGGCAGCTCCACCTCCCACTCAGTCATTACGTAACACTTCCACCTTGACGCAGCGACCACCCTCCAGTACGCCCGGGTGGCGCGCTCCACCATCCCCACCGGCAGCCCCCCGTCTCCCTCGGCGAGGCCGCCCACGCACCCTTCTCCGGCCCACGCGAACGGCGCGGGCGGGCTGTCCGGGCCGTCGCGCTCGGCGGCCATCCAAGCATCTCGCTCGGAGGTGCTCCAAACTCCTTCGCCTCGCCAATTCGCGGCGAATACACTCCGCCGAAGTCGATCGCCCAACCGGACGTTGGGGATCGCCGCAATCCAGTAGGCGTGAACGGCGAACAGTTGGCCGTTCAGGTGTCTTACTCGCCACCGAGTCGTGGCATCAAAAGCGGAATGGATCCAAAAGAGGGGCGTTCCTGGACCGGAGGCCATGGCCCATGCCTCCGCCCCACCGAGCCCATTGCGGCACGCAAGCACCACTTTGCCCGCTTCGTCCGGGCCGACCAAAGGCTCGCCCGGGCCCCTTCGTCCCTGCGTGCACGGATCCACAAATATCCCCGGAGGGAGAGAAAGCACCGCTCCGCCATGGAGCATGGCGGAACCGGAGGGTCCGCCCACACTGAACGCGAGCACGTTCGACCCGCCTGGGGAACGTGGGGATGCTCCGGCCATGGCGAGGGAGGGCTTCCGACGGTCCCTGCACGGTCGGGGAGGCTGGGGTGTTGCGGCGCGCCGAGCAGACCGGGCAGAGCGGGCGTAGGCGGGGCGCAGGCGCAACCCGCGGGGACCAGATGCAGGGGGGCGCGGTCACGTCCGACATACGGTACATTACACGAAATATCAAAAGGGCGGTCTCCCGTACAGATGCAAAACCACAAAGTACTGTTAGCAGCCGCACCCAACGTCCCATCACGCCTCACTGGACCCCTATACCCTGCCAGTACTTGTCCCATCAAGGTCCTAGGACCTTTTGCAAAAGTTCAGGTCCATTCAAGGACACCCCCTACGGTTCATGGTCTCCCCAAAACGGGTCAGGAATTGGCCCTTTTTCCCTCTGAAAGTCACTCAAAAGGCCCTTACAAACCGGCCAACCTCTCACTCAGGGTCCATCACCACACGCCCTGCACACACCGTGCCTCTTTTTCCCCGGCTAATAGTACTGGACAATCTACCATAATCGCATACTAAACCCAATTCTGTACACCCAAATTCCATCACCGTCAAACTGTATTGTATCCCGTCAGCATGCGGCTCCAGCTGACTAGTTTTCGCCCTTTTCCTTGACCAGTTCACAGCCCAGTCACAGTCGTCCGTGCTGCCCGTAGAGCGCTCTTCAATTAACGTCATTGTTGCTCATTCTGGACGGTTCTGATGAGCGGCATTGCAAAACAGCGAGATGGAGGACATCTCAGCTGTAAATGCATCAATTCGTGTGCACTGGAGAGAAGCTGAGTGTGCATACGTTTGCCTTGATCATTCAGCAGCTGCATGACCGCTAAATGTAACCGTATGTCATGCGGTTCAATGTGATTTCTGCTGAGCACATTGACCTTTCCTTTCTCTACGGTTTTCTCTCGATTACAGTGATGGCCATTTACTTGAGCAGATTGGACTGTAATCGAACAGCACATTTGCGGCGATTTTCGTGCGCGGAATTTCGCTCATTAACGCCGTCAAGGCATATGGTTTGGATTTGTCCATCCGATCTAACGCCGTCCACAAGAACTCGTTTGTGTGTTGTGCCCTGCTTGGATCAAGCCCGACATCGGCTTCAAGGAGCAAGAGCAGCAAAGGTATTTTCAGGGAAATCCGGTACAACAAACTACTGCGAACACTAAGTGATGTGCAACGCTTTCCAAAGACATGACCATTTTTTAGCAATTTGCCATGCCCTTTCGACACACGCACTCCAACGAATCAAGGCGCGCGGGTTGGCCTGTCAGTCGGAAAAAAGCCACCCACCGGCAAGAAAGAACGAGTGCAAACCGTTAGAAAAAAGTGCAAACCGTGCAATCGGCAGAAAAAAAAGTGCATGGCTGTAGAAAAAGTGCGCAAAAACGCCGGTGTCCGCCCTCCGTCATTCGTTGCATATTCCCTCTGTCGATTTACAGGGGCCATGGCGCCCGGGGGGCAACGCGGATGGCAGCCTCGAGAACGTCCGCCCTGCAGGTCGCAGCACAGGTGGGCAAACGCGCTCCCCCGCCCCTCGCTCAGCTTTTCCTTTCGCGATCCCGCGCGTTGTGGATCCAGCTGCCCCATCGAGCGGAATCGCCACCGAAGGGGCGCAATCATTCTTTTGTCGCCGGGGCGCCGGCTGCCAAGCCTTTTCCTTGGCCGTGTGATCGACTTGCCGCGATCGGAGATTTCTGCAGCCCCTTTCGGGCGCATCTGGGTCTTGGGGATTGGCCGGCAAGGGAAAGCGCACCGTGTGATCCGTATCCTCCCTGAGCTGCGCCAACCGTTGCTCGCGGTTGGCAGAGCACGGAGGCATTTGACGTTAGGTGCCGATTGCCTCTCCTTGCCCTTGGTCTCGCGATTGAGCTGCTGCGATCGCGGGGCTCTGTAGCGCCGTTTGGTAGACACACGAGTCTGTCGCTTTCGTCGCGAGGAGAGAGCCGATCATGCGACCTTGCCTTTCATGAGCGGCGCCAATCGTTGCTTGCGGCTGGCAAAGCAGGGAGGCGCTTGACGTTAGGCGCCGGCTACCGCGCCTTGCCCTTTGCCGTGCGGTCGACTTGCTGCGATCGGGGATCTCTGCAGCGTCTTGCGATGCACTCGCTAGTCTCGCGCTTTCCTTGAGAGGAGGGGGCCGATCGCGTGTGAAATTTGCCATCAGTGAGCGGCACTATTCGTTGGTTGCGGTTGGCAAATGAAGGGGGCAATTGGTCGTTAGGCGGCCCTGAGCGCCCGAACGCCCATTTCGGCTGTTGGTCTGCGTCGAGAATGCACCAGGGCGCCTGAAAAGCCTCTCTCTGTTCGATCTTCCACGGCGGCCTTGCCGTTCCCTGCCGGACAGAATTCGCTTGGCCGTCTTGGGCGAAGCTAAGCGCGTCTGGTGGAAAATGATTCGCTAATTTGCAACGAGTGGAGCCACTGAAAGTGTCCAGGTGGTTTCGAATTGGATGGCGTGCAGCTGGCGTTGGTTCCCAGGTCCCAAACGCTTGTGCCTCCTACTCGAGTCCCCTCTTTGGCCTGTTGATGCCTTGGTTGATTGAATTCCATCCAGATCGCTGCGGGTGCCTTCGTGGGGGCGGTGGCCTGCATCAGCCTGCGGCAGGCAGAGCTGGGCCACCGACCTGCCGGGGGAGGCTCCAGTGGGGAAACGCCATTCCCCACCGACCCAAGCAAGCAATCCTTGGAGGAGGCCCTCAGGGACACCACTGCCAAACGGTGGGGGATCGAGGCATCGGCGCCACAAGAGCCCGGGCACAGCAAGTAGGGAGCAGTTTGGAAGAGCGGTTGGCTAAGGCTTGGATATTTGTTGGTTCAGATTGGGAGGTTCTTTGCAGTGTGGGGGAGAGTGTACTGTGCAGCAGGGACTGCTTTACTAAGCACAGGTTGTCGCTGTTCCTTGCACTGAGTCTGACGACTGAAATGCCATGTTAGTGGTCCATGCCAAGGCAAGCCATATCGTCCATCTCCAAGTCTCAAAGCCCATCGTGGGCCCAGTGTTCCCTTTGAATCCTAAATGCACGTGGTGGGTGTGACTCTTGCCCCTGGGATGATATTTTCGGCTTAATTGATGAGGACCTGCGTACTTCGTTTTGGTACCATTGCGGGCAGGTTAAGAAGTTCTTATTGCTGGGCATTGTGAGATCATTGTAGACTGCCAGAAAGGTAATCCTGTTGGATGTTCTGAACTCAGTAGAGACAAGTGCCATGCCCAGCCGTTTCCTCCCTGCTACGACGAAAACGTGCATTTGTCCATGTTGATGTCAGAGTGACATTCAGGTTGCTGCTTGATCTTTGATTCGCAGGCCTGCATGACACAAAGATAGCAACACAAGGGGATCAGCAGCAAGAGCAACCCTGGCCACACCGCTAAGAGGAGCGGCACTCTGCACATTGCATAAATCAATAGCATCAAAAGGCACCAGCGCCGGCAGGTGGCCAGGGACACCAAGAAATCGGTGCCACAGCCCCACAGGCGCAACCCTTGGAGAAGGCCGTGAGCAGTGTCAGCGAATCGACACGTGGCCGACAAGTCTTGAGCTGATCCTCTCGCATTGACGGCTGCTTGCTCATTTTGCAATTCCTGTTCGAGAACGGACTCGAGAAAAGTACATCGTTTTGGGACAACCGTTTGAGAAAGTGCCAGAAAACGAGCACCTGCCAGGATGCCGTACCCTGGCCTGCGTGTGCGGGTGCTGGGGTCTGTGGTGATCATCCAGCCACTGGAGAGTGCAGGGGAGCAGGCGCTGAGCCTGACAGTGGACTTGAAGAGCGGCCGAGTGGAGCTGGCACCCCAGGCGCCTATCAAGAATGACTGCCTGGTGGTGCTGGCGATGGTGGGGGTGATGTCACTGTCCTCTCAGGCAGCAGTGGCGCTCGTCACGGGGGCAGAGCAGGTGGGAGAGGCAAGGCGATCTGTTGAGAGTTTAAATAGCAAGAAACCAGCTAGAAATAGTGAAAATAGCAAGAAATATCGAGCTTAAACAGCGAGAGTGTACTGGAGAATTGAAGTCAATGTGGAAGTCGGCACAGTGAAGTGAACTGAATGTGGTGCAACACTTTTGGAACGTAGAAAGCTGGGCTGGTTTTCCTTACATTTCATGTGGAGGAACATAAAACCAGGCCATGTTTGACATCATCAACTCAACAATAGTATGCTTTTGTTGACAACAAGCCACTCTGTTGAATTTCCGGTTGACCCACAGCACTTTGTTGTTGAAGGCAACATGTACTACATTGCACTGGTCATGGTATGGATCTCTGCAACAAGACACATTCATTGTAGATTGCAGTATTCACTATACCAAGTGTTGGATGTTGGTACGTAGGTGTGTATACAGCACCTCAGTGTCTATTGATTCACATGTCTTTCACACGTGTTCAATTGTAAATATCTGTCCTCACAGTAACTTTTGGTATTTGAAAGCGATCTCCCGACAATATTGTCATGTGATCATCAATTGTATATCTTGTGGGTAAATGTGTTCCTTTAGGCAACTGCAGGTCAACAAAAGGCTATTTTGTTTTGCAACACCTCTCAGTTGCTGGCGCCAGAAGAAAGGCTGGAAGACAACAATTGAGACATGTGAAATGATATCCAAACAATGCCTGGGAGTGCATGAGAGTTCATTGTGGAGCTATGTGTTCTTGTTGTTTCTGCATGGGAAGTTTTGCATTCATTGCATTAGACAGAACGAGCTGAGCCACTGCTATCACACATACCTGGCAATGATGGACACCACTTTGCTTGCCTACAGGAGCACGCAATTGCAGGTTTGCCAGATTGGATGCATCAAATTCTTGCTCTTGTACATCATAGAATTGAAACAGATCACTTTCCCAGAATCGGAAAGCACCAAGCTGAATAAAGGGCAGAAACGAGGAGAATCAGCATGCACTAATCCGAGTCCCATATCTACAGTCCCAACCTTATTCCAATCTTAGCCTGGACCTGAGACCACAGAGACCAAGAAATGCAGACAAAGGCTGGGTTTTGGGCCGCTGAACTTTGGGGTTTGGCAGCCACCACTTTCAGACGATATAGGAATTGTGTCCAATCCATGGGTTGGTTGCCTATTCTTACACAGCTATCGTGGTGGGGCGATTCCTTCTTGGTCCCTCCATTTCTGTTGCATAACAGGTAACAGAGTTATCTCTGCATTGATGTCATATTTTGGAATGAGCGAACGACAACATATCATCAATGAAACAAGGTTCTGTTTCTTGGTACATCGACATCGAAGCCTGTAGCACTTGTTGTGCTGTTGCATGTATCAAGCTTCAGATTGTCCTTGGGAGACATTGCTAAAGGAATGTCTAATGTGTCTGCAGTGATAAAAGCTGCCATCGCCTTTCAGGTCTTCAGGGCCACACCGGGTCGTGTCTCGCAACTGTGATCGAATGGCTTAAAAAATGGAATCTGATAGTGTATTACGTTACTGATATTGATGCAAATGATTGAAGTAGTCGGTTGCCTTGGTTTCTCCAGTAGATCGAATGAGTTAACAACGATACGGATTGAAGTCAGGAGGTAATTCATCCCTGTGCATGGTGCAGGTTGCGACAGTGAGTGGCCACCCCATTTTCCGAGTGACTCAGACAAAGGTGCTTGAAGCGGAGCGAAGGACAAGGGATCCTGGTGATGACAGGTATCATCAAATTCGACACACATCTGTACTGATCGCTGGCTTAGCAACATGTCTTGCACATGACTAACCTGATGGTTGAATATATACAGAATGTTGAGAAGACGATGTGGGCAATGTGCCATGGGTACTGCAATCAAGCAACGTGTGGGAAAGGCACAGAGCTGGAGTGGTATCTGCTGCACTGTACAGTACTGCATAGCACAGCATGGCAGCTTGGATGCTGAGGCCCATGGTCACAGACTGTGCCACATTTCACTGTTCTGTACTGTGGTGCACTGTTTTTTAAACCACCGCTGTGTAATGTGCTGTAATCTATTGTCACTGTACTGCACTGTGCACTGAAATTGCCCGGCTAAATAGCAGTGAACTCCTGCTCCAGGTACATGGCTCTCCTGAAGGCGGCCCTGGACCCCGAGGCCCATGGTCGCGGCCTGTACTTTTCGCTGGGCCTCAACCTCACCTTGTCTGCGGAGCACAGGGCCACAGGGTTGGCAGATGGTGCCTCAGCTGAGAAGCATATGTATGCAAAGGAGGATGCGAGATTCTTCTGGAACCGCAACCTGTGCACGAAGCTCATAGGTGAATGGCCCACCGGTTTTCAGGGGACTGCCTTTGCACCAAAGCATTTAAGCAAGTGAAAGAATGGTGGGAATGGTTGGGGTAATGGAAAACTCTTGAAGCCCATAAGTGGGTGGTCTGCTATTTTCTGAAGCTGATCATTGCATCGAAGAGGGTTGTCTTCGACAGTGCATTTATCACAGCACATATGACAGTTTGTGTTTGGCACATCACCCCACCACAGTGCATTCGACACAGCAATTAAAACAGAAAACGATTGACACAGCGCTGGCGCATTGTTTTGCATGGAGTACAGTTGGCACTCATCAGGCACATGCTGTCAGCGGCACATTCGCCCTGGCCCTTGAGTTGGGTCTCGTTGCAGTGCAGATGCGAATGCCCATGGGTTCATATACCCGCTTGTCCAAGGGTTTGTTGGTCAGCTGGACAGCCTCGTGTTCCGGAACAAGGAGCGGTACGCCTCTGCGTCGATTACCCTGATCGCAAGGAGGTCTGTTCAACGTGTGGGCACCAGACACTGGCGAAGGGGGGCTGACAAACAGGTATGCATTGCTCCTTCCAAAACTTTAAAGGAACAAGAGTGTGTTGCATGGATTTGGCTGATAGTGCTCCAGGAGTGAGATTAGTCAAGTTTTAGGTTAGTAATTCTGGTTAGGATGCAATCAATTCAGTGAATTTGCCGCTGCTGTGGTCCATTTTAGTGACAGTTTTGCCATGCCGATCATCACATTGATGGTGCAAGGGCAGTGCATTGTCAGTAGTGGGCATTGCCTGTTTGACATTTGCAGTTGGAGGATACGCACGCGAAGGCTGTGAAAGGGCGACAAGTCGAGGTTCACATGTTGAGGTTCGCACTCACCTGCAACACATTTAAAGAGTTTTGATTCCCGGGGATTCGAATAGATTCGCACCATGCACTGTCCCCACAAAGCACAGTGCAACTGTGCCACCATGTTGGCCCATGGCGCATTTGCCTCGAAGGGTGTTTGAGTTCCACTTTTGACCATGATTTGCCTTGACGTTTTGTAGTCCACAGTTCTCCATATCTGATTGATTGCCTTGGTGTCCAGGGAAATGTGGCCAATTTTGTTGAGACCGAGCAGCTTGTAGACTTTGACAACGGCAAGCACGTGGCCTCCCACGTCCAGATTCGTGGTTCAATCCCACTTCTTTGGACCCAGATACCAAACATCAAATACAAGCCTCCCACAGAGATGGCTGGTAGGAGCGCACACGCCAGCGTGTTCGATCAACACATGTCTCACCTTTTGGAGGTGTACAAGGTGATTATATGTTTCCCAATATGGCGCTGTATTTGACATTTTTACAATGTAGCGTAACAGCCACCAGGTGAGTAATTCCGTTGTTATAGACTTTCAAAGGCATAGTCATCGTTATGTTCATGAGCATGGTCAAAAATTGTCATCACAAGCAAAATGTACACTCAGTAATTTCACTGCAATCTCAAGCTATTGACGATGCATTATGATCAACTACTTTCTGCACATCACTGTATTAGCGAGCAAATATTTCCTATGTCCCACATTAATTGTCGTCTATTGGGGAGATCAATCTCGTCATGAAAGCGACATCTAAATAACAAACGGAGGCCAGAATCGGAAAGGGTGGCTCTCAAAACCCTTAAGTTCGAGTTTTCAATCAAAAAAACATTTCTTCCTCACCCCTGTGAGCTGCCCCCTAAAAATGCCTTGACACGGTCCCAAAAATGCGTGTTCAATTTCTGCGGTCTTGCAGACCCCCTTGGTTTAGGGGCGCTCCCGTGCCTGTGAGTTGCAACGCCAATGGTTGCCACCATTGCAGCAACTGACAGGGTCCAACACGTGGCATAGCACTAGCCGAACACACTCGAACGTGCCTTATTCTTGTCTTAGGTGGCCATCGTCGCAGTGTTGGATGATGCCCGAAATCGTCGCTTTCTCAATCTTCAAAGGGCAGTCCTCCAACGAGTTGAAAAAGCCAACGCCTAAAACCTTCAAGCCTGGGCTTAGTGCGTGCTGTCGCTCCAAGTTTGTTTAGCAGCCTTGCTATGACATTTTGCCTCAGTTGATGCTTGAATAGGGGGTTGCGTGGGCCGCTAAGCTGGAAGTCCTAAAACAGCCATTGTCTGTGGATACAATGGCCGATGCTTGTGCGTGGTACACAATCCGATGTTTGTGCGTGGTACACAATCCATTGGAACTGAGCAAGTCTCCATCACTCCATAACCCCGAATTCACCTTTGTGGCCGTCGTCCTTGCACCCAATCCTTTGAAGTTCCGAAACAAGGACAAATCGCCATTCCCGTGGCAGTGCCCAGTTCACAAATTGTTCATGCTATATCGCAGTGATAACCATCACCATCTCTGGCTCCTTGTTCCAAGGATTGGGAGACCTCCCTCAGTTGCCTTGACGGCGGCGAAGGAGCAGGAAAAGCCATGGGCAAAAACAATTGGGTCCAGAACGCAGCTCCGATCCACCAGACCAAGCCTGAATTGATGCTGCAAGCAACGGCGAGTTCGAAGATTAAGGCATTCGAAATGTGTTTTCTATCGCTGCACCTCTGTGCAAGCACCTTAGTGAACTCCACTCTGAACAGCGTGAATAATTTGTAAGGATGGGTTTGTTTCGCTGCCGTGAATGTGTGCTCCTCAAAACAGCCAGAACCGGTTGTTTTCTGCGCAATATCCCAAAGCGACCCTTTTTGGCCAGAGGACCTTTGCTACAAAGTACTGCTAAATTCTCACTGTTTAATGGATTGAGCTGAAATTTTGACAGCACACTCCAACCTCACAAGCATAACTTTGGGATAAATTTCTTTAAAAACCGATGTAGGCACAGTGGAGAAGTAACGCCACAAAAATTATAGACGACAATTAATATGGGACAGAAGAAGTATTTCCAAGCGAATTGTGGCCTTTGTTGTCGTGAATGCGACTACACTGCTTGGAAACATGTACGCAAAGATTCCTTTTCTTTTGCTTTCCTTTCCTAATTGTCTAGGTTTCTGGATTCTGCTATCTGAAAATTTGTCAGAACTCCAGCTTCCTAGAGAAGTTGTTTCTTTGAC